AGTAAGGGAAGAGCCGAGGTGGCGCAGTGGTTAGGGTGCAGGCCACTTCAGCTGACTGTTATCTGCAGTTCAGCAGTTCTAATCTCACCGGCTCAAGGTTGACTCAGCCTTCCATCCTTCCAAGGTGGGTGAAATGAGGACCCAGACTGTGGGGGCGATATGCTGACTCTGTAAACCGCTTAGAGAAGGCTGAAAGCCCTATGAAGCGGTATATAAGTCTAACTGCTATTGCTAGTCCTTGTTTATCAATCACATCTGAGACCAGCTACCTGATTATTAAAGAAGTGATCATTAAGTGACACTACAACTGTGCTTATGGTCTTACTTTAGTTTTGCTTTGCTCTGTGGACCTGTGAAAGTTGTAAATGGGAGAAATGATCGCCAAGTAATGGAAGTGCTGAAGTACCTTGAATCTCTCCCGACATGATTCAACGGCGCATGAGCTGATGATTGAGTTCACGTCAAAAGCCTAATTCAATTTAATCTTTTTCAGATTGTTTTTAAATCATATGCCATTTGAAATTTTGCGTAGCCGTAACAGCCTTTGTGAACAATGAAAATGGAGAGTTTAGAAATCGCTGAGCTAGACCATTTTAATGGTATAATTTTAATAAAACAATGAATAGATTTGAATTTTTAATAAGTGGAAAGAAGACAATTGATGCATTTGCAGGCATTTATTTTGGCTAGATTTACTCTCACATTTTACTGCCGAACAACTGTATTGTCTTGACTGATACAAAAATATGAAGTGAAAAAATGTAAGGACACTCACTTGATATTTAATAGTGCTTCCCTTTTTCTTCACCTTTGCACACTGAGTATATCTGCATTTGTCAGTTCAGGGTGCATCACAATTTGCATTAGATGTAACCTTCAGCCCTGACCCGACAAAAGGGCGAACGACAAAACCGCGCCCAACTAAAGCGCATCGCTGACATCATCAACGCGGCGACAACAGCCAGCGCGGAGAAAGAAGGGCGCTTTAAATAGCACGTAGAAAGAAAGCCGATTTAACTTCAGGTTAGGGTTAGGTTTAGGGTTAGGTTAAGGGTTAGGGTTAGGATTAGGTTTAGGGTTAGGTTTAGGGTTAGGGGTTAAGTTTAGGCTTAGGGTTTACAGCGTGCTTCTGTCTCTGTGCTGTTGTCGCCCTGTTGATGATGTCAGCGACGCGGTTTAGTCGGGCGCGGTTTTGTCTTTCGCCCTTTTGTCGATGAACCACCTTCAGCAACTTATCCTCTTGTTTTTTTAGTCTATCTACAATTCAAAAATGACCCGATTCCATTCGTATATTTGGCAAGAACTGCGAAGATTTCTTAAAGGAAACTTTTTATTGAAATTGAACAATTGGAAGAAGTCAAGAGTTGGCGCTTGCCTAGATAGTCTGTCTCCAACCTTGACCATGACATCTAAATAGAATATAATTAGCGATAGAAAAAGAGAATGCATTGAAATGTAATATTGTGAGAGTATGTCCAGATTCAATTTCTGCATATATATATATTTCTTTAATGTACATGCATTTTTTTGAAGATGTGCAGGAATATGCTCAATCTTATTTGAATGAGTTCCATATTCATAATGTGGAAACATGAGAGTTCCACTGGAGCACTGAGAATTAGATACATTGGTATTATTAGGCTGCAAGAATGCATCTCCAAAATTTAAAAGCCAATAAAGGGTATTATATCTGTGAAGTAAGAATAATATCAGTACTTGCATTAGTGAGGAGGTTTTACAGGTAAAAGTTTGCTGTAATATTTTTCTGAGTTTGGCAGAGGGACAAGAAAATTTTATTCCACCTCTCTCCCCAAAAGTACTTAACTGTATTACTATATCAAAGAACAGTAATTCCTTGAACCATGAAAAAGCATGCGGCAACTCCAGCAGCCACACACCAAAATGAGAGATGGAGATGCCACAATAGTTTTTAAAGATGTTTCTGCACTCAATTACATGTCTCTCCTTGGCAAGCTTGAGCAGTCTTCCACATTTCCTAAAGGAAGGGAAGTGGCATTTATTTTATTTATTTTTTAATATATATTTTTTTGTATTATTATTTTTTTTTATTTTTTTTTAAATATATTTTATTATGTTTTCATTCTATACAATCACATATTCACTGTGCTT